ACCTTTTACTGTCATCTTATGCTTTCAAAATAGCTAATTTTCACAGTTCATTTTGCTTAAAGAATTTAATATCTGACTGTACTGTAGCTTTCATTTAATGGAGCAGAAAGTCACCTAGCTCTTACAAGCGTCTCTGTCAGCAGAGTTTGTGTTAACACACTACACCCTTTTGAATGACTTTCTCTGGGGGGTGAGGGTTGTCATCCTCCCTCAATTTAACATCTGATACGTCCCCAGTAAACTGTGAGACTAAAACTCGCTATTGATAAAGTATCTGCCTTGCGACATTTCTCAAACTGTTCCAAAGTCTGGTGCAGAGTAAAATCCTCTAAACTGAATGCCGTGATGGATACAGCAATTACCTCTAATACAAATCATAATACCAATAATACAAAGGACCACAGCCAGCCGCCATATCACTCTGCAGCTCTTTACTGGCTACTCACTGTAGCACAGTGGGAATGAGCCTGGTCAGTACCTGGATGGGTGACTTCCTAGGAAGCTATGGTTGCTGCTGGAAGTGGTGTTAGTTAGGCTAGCAGGGGGTGCCCACCCTGCGGTCTGTGTGGGTCCTAATGCCCCAGTATAGTGACGGGGACACTATACTGTAAACAGGTGCCATCCTTCAGATTAGACGTAAGACTGACTCTCTATGGTCATTAAAAAAAAAAACTTTTAAGAAAACAGCTTTAAGAAAGCATAACTATTTTTGAAGAACCTTATTTACCTTTGGCAAAAGAGCTGACACGTATTATGTGTAGAGAAAAAGCTGCTAAACAGCTCGACCTGCTGCCCCCCTCCCCCTGAAAGACACAGTCATTCATAGAATTATTGAAATGAAGGATTATATCAAAAGTACACTGATAGAGCGCGTTTAGATGAGCAGATGTTTTTCACTGCAATTAGATGAGTCTATAGTCGATTTGGCCAATTTGCTCGTTTACGTTAGATACGAGTTTGAGGGCATGTCCCATGAAGACTTCTGTTCTGTAAACCGCTACCAACAGGAACTACAGGAGAGCACATATTTCAGCTTCTGAATGAATTTATCGAAGAGAATGGCCTCGACTGGATTAAATGCGTCTGAGTTTGTACAGACGGTGCTAGAGCAATGACAAGCCGACATAACGGTGTAGTTGCACGAATTAGAGAGGTTGTGAAACCTCTCTACATTACTAATTATTAATTAGATAAATTAATGTACGCATTACAACATCCACCGCGAGACCTTTGCCGTCAAGAAAATGCCTGACGATTTAATATCTGTTAGACTCTGTTGTGA